GAGATAGAAAACCTATTCAGTCCAAAGTTCTTGGAACAAAAGTCTGGATGATACTCTTCCGAGAATCACTCACTCAAAGTCCAGCGTTGTTGTCGTTCCGCTGCCTCCGAAGTTTCCCTTCCAGGAAACCTCGCCCCGAAGTTTCTCTTCCAGGAAACCTCGCGTCTTCACTTGGCCGCCCTCCAAGCTTCAAACTTCTTCGCCGGAAACACGCCGGCTTCACACATGCACCTGTTGCCACACGTCCTCGCTCGATAGCGGTAAACAGACGCTCTTGAATGTAGCTCGAGCCTCTACCCCTCAGGTGGAAATCCTCTTCTTCTCCTGCTTTGTCACTACGGACAAAACCTTTGCTGACTACACGGCGGAATCCCTACGCGCTCGGGCGCTAACTTCCGTCTTCTCCTGATCTCTCATCTCGGCTGCTTGATTAAATACCTTCCGCGCGAGATTCCAGAAAGTTCTCATCATTTCGTTGGCGCGATACGCAGCGAAGGCTGGGGAAAGGGCGAGATGATACGGGGGCCGTCCGCGACGGATGACTCAACCCGGCATCACTTGCCCCTTTCCATCGAGAAAATTCCAGGGCTTGCTCGGCCGTTGATGCAAGAAGGTACGTCGGCGAACTTACGCTTCCCAGGGGAGAGGGTCGCGCGCCCGGAAAGTCTTTAGATGTTTTTTTTTTATCGTTGACGTCGCGACATCACTCCGCGTTTCGTCGCGAGAATTTGGCGGCGCGCCCTTTTTGAGCGCTCGTTTTGTGACAGAGCTGTTCCGTGTTTTCTATTTGCAACTATATTTGAATAATTTTTAGTGCATAATTATGTCCATACTTTTGAGTATCCCTGCCACTATGTCTGGATGGGGGTAATAATTGCTGGCATATTAAAATTCACTACGTCTTACTTGTAGCTAGAGGAAAAACAGGATGATGATGAACGTTTATTGCTAAGGAGCTGAACCAAAAGGGGTAATATTAAAAAAACTCAACTATACACATCATTCTTAAGGTGGAATAATACTCGCGATATTGACTTGCACATATAGCTAACTGACCATTAATCATGTGTCAATGTCTATCTTTGGTTGGTGAGCTACTAAGGGATGCTAGGAGTGAGCTACTTGGTGAGTGAGCTACTAAGGATTGCCAAGGGAATGAGCTACTTGCTATAGTACTTGCTGAGTGGGCTACTAAAAGATGCTAAGGGAGTGAGATACTTGCCTGCCTTCGTATAGCATCCCAATTTTGTTGCTGTTTCGTTCACTGCTTCACCCTTGCAGCGAAACTGTGGCTTTTGTGTGACATATCCAGCCACGGCACTTGCTGCTATCCTTACGACCTTTCCACCCGTCATGAGAGCAATTGAGGAGTTTCTCAGTGTTTCACCACCAGTCGATGGTAGGGGCAGTGCGACCCTTACCTTGCATCTCCTGTACTGTGCACACGGCACAAAAACTGCTCGATGTGAAACCATGGAATCGGGTTTCTGGACGGAGAGGAGAATTATCCAAGAAGTCATAGGTAGAGAGTGGATTGCCTCTATAAAAAATATTATTAGATGGCTCACTACATAATGTAGATATGCATGCGCTCGTGAATAATACAAGCAGAAGCTCAGTAAAAGTGTAGAAGAATCAGCTAACGAGGTGTAATGCAGAAAGCAGAAAGCACTGAAAACGAGAGATAAACATTGCTACACCTGTTCTGCAAGCAGAGAGCACCAAATGCCTTTGGACCTTGGTTTGATTAAACAACAGGGCCACAATTAAGAGAAGTTGTCTACAGAAATGACGAACACGTATTTCTTTTGCTAGCTATTTTCTATCTCTTTATTTTTCCAATACACTAGGAGTGGTTTTCAGGGCTAAAATTAGCTGCAGCTTGACAGCTCTTTGAAACACATACGTGAGTTATATCTACATTGGTTAAATATAACTGTGCATAAGGAGAAAGAAAGTAAAATAAAATAAAGGACTCTTGCTGCTGAACAAACCCTTCAGACTGTATGCCATGGTGTGGTGGTGTGCATTGGCAAGATGTAAACACCACCTGGAAACATTAATTCCGCGGACCTTAAGCTCTTTTGCATTCCTTTTTACTGCAAGTCACATCCACGAAGAATGCGAAGAACGCAGCTGGTTATGCTCGCAAGCTGCTTGCCTTAGAACTGAAACTGTCTAGTGCAAATAAGTTCCACGCTATCATTTGAGTTTGGGGAAGAACATGTTTAGAAAGAGAAACTGACAACATTCCAGCTTTTCAAACTTGCAATCTGTATGGAGTCTCTTGTGGCTGAGTGCTGCAAGTAGGTTGCTGTCAGTTTCCCTTTCTTTCTAGAGTGGCTTGTTTTATTCTGTTTTATTTGCCCACCGCGACTGCATTTTGTTCGATGCTTTCTTCGTGTTTAGTCTGCAGGGATTTCTCGGCTCGAGAGAATAGTCAGTCGTGCAACCTTCAGTATGCGCAGTATGTGCATGGATATATGATAGCTGTGTGATGGTGTATTGATGTGTCCCGTATTGCAAGTCTTGTTCGGGGAAAACACCTGGTGTTTCTTTTCACCAATTTCCAAGTAGTGCTGAAGTTTGTGATAAATGGCAAAAAAATATTGCGAGAGACAAGTTCATAATCAACGACAAGCTGCGTCGTATGCAGCAAACACTTCTGTGATGAAGACTATGTGCCTGTGCACCGCATCAGAAAACTTCTTCCTGACTCTGTGCCTACTCTCTTTGAAGACAATTCTTCCTACTTGATTCCAAGTGGTTCTGCAGATCTCATAGCTGAAAAATTACTAAGAATTCTTGTTGTCAATCACACAAATCAACTGGCTGACGCAAATGACTAGCCTTCCACCTATGCACACAAGCCGACTAGGAAGCATTTTAGGTTGTGAACAAAACATTTGTGTAGTCCGGCAAAGTTTTTACTTGAAAGCGTTCAACTATTGCCACTGCTTATGAGCAATAAATGTTCATTTCCAGACCTCGGAATGTTTAAATGTTTACACGTTTGACGGCAGAGGGTTGTACTTCCGGCTCTTGCATGTATACATTTTTTGATATACGTAAGCTTGATGCACATTGCACATATAAGAAGTAAAAGTAAACCCTTTGTGCGTCTTTAATGAATAGGCAACCTATTTTTCAATGCGCGGTGAGTGAATAAGTGTGCCCGAACTCATGTGCCGGCATTGCGTGCACCGCATGGAGCGGCAGAGGAGGGTCAGGGTCACAGCGCCCCCTTCAGAGCAGCGGCGAGAGGCATGTATTACACCCCATACGAAGGCCGTAACAAGTGAGCGTGTACATGCAGTCTAGCCCGGCAATGGCCTGGCATTGTCTTGTTTTTTGTGCTATAAAACTGCTTCTGAACAAGACCGGTGTTTCGCGAAAGCTCCAATGAAAACTTTGTGTAGACTTGACTTTATAGTCATATGGAATCAGTCATTTTATAGTCATATAGAATTAGTCAATGGAATCAGTCATTATAGTCATATAGTTGAATCTGCTTATAAGAATACCCAAGTGGCACAAAACTTTTATTGTTATAACCAATGATTGCTATAAATGGGCTGAACAACAAAAAAGCAATATAGGAGGACAGCAGGCTACTGTGAGTAGGCTTTGGCAGATGGGACATGCCAATGATAAGGATGACAAAGCTGCGATTTATCAGATGTGCTTGAAAATATAAACGCTTTCACATGAGCGCCACAAACCCCCATAGAGTCAATGTATGACATCATTCAAAGCTTGACGCTGAAGCTTATCCAAGTCTCAACTTTTTACACAAGTTGCATGTCCACCGCTGCTTACCATTGTAGCGGATTTTGAAAGTCAGTTTTCTCGCCGTGCTATATCGCTATGAGGTGCAACATACAGCAAATCTGAAGGGACGCTAGGGTATGACTGGGTTGTGAGTGCAGGTTCAGCAGGTTGAATTCCGCATTTTCTTGTTTTCAAGAATTTCGCCTTCTATTACCTTTCAGCACAGACACCCAATAGAGCGAAGTCATTGTTTATACGAATAATGCGGCACATGGGCATTGCTGTAAGCATGTTATTACATGCTCAAACCAAAAGTGGGTAGTGCAGCAGCCTCCAGTTGTTAAAACCGATATATAGTTAAAGCCAGTATCATATGTGGGTTCGACGGTGTATTGTTTCTGTGCTATATTTTTTTCTAAAATGCATTCATGCATTAAGATGTATCGACTTGGCTTCTCCGCATTTAATGTCTCTGCCAAGGGAAGCCCCCTTTGAGTGATTCTGATATCTCATTTTTTTCTCGACGACTATCGATGTGTCTTTTATATGGTAGATGCATCGGGTACATGCGAGCACAATCTCACACATCGATCATTCTTCTTCATCAAGTGATGAACAGAGCTTGATGAGGGCATGGCAGTCGAAGCGAATGTATGTGAGCTAGTGCAGAAGCAAAGTAATAGTTGTCTGCAAGGAGGTCTGTACCGCACTGGCTAAGTATACTATAGTTATTGTGTCAAACAACGAATATACGAGTCTGAAGCTAGAACACACACAAGAGTTATAGAGTGCAAAGTGTCCTTTCCGTGTTTTGCCCATTACTGCAACATATGTAAAGTTCTTGGAAGATTGTATGCTACGTGCTGGTATGCAATGCAATAGGGTATTAAAGGCATCGAGACATAGTTTTTTTTTTTCTAATACTGTTACATGCATTTTTGAGTACTGCCTTCGTGGGCTGTTAACGTCGCCATTCTTTGTCTGAACCAAACAAATAAAATGTGCTGCAGTTGACTTGTTTAGTGTGTAATTGGCTGTACACGTGCATTCAGAATTTCACAAGGTTGTCAATTGGTCGTCGTAACATAGGAACTTGAAAAATTGTTGCATTAGAAGCTTGAGATAGCGGTGTTCATGTGTGAACACTGAAATTGTCTACGAACTAAAATTTGATGCATCCTCGGGTGATGCACTTACCGGCTGTGATTCTTCTCTTCCCATGTGCGCAGTGAAAGTGCCACAGATCGTCAAGATCGTGCAGACGCAAAGCAGTGAAGGCATCAGCGTCACCTCGGTCCTCATGGAGCTGATGGGCATGACGGCTACAGCCGCCTACAGCTATGCACAGCGGTACCCGTTCAGGTAAGCCTTCATCACCAACATCGCGCGCTTCTTGCCAGCAGGTTTATTCATTCTTCGGTGCTCCTCTCGGAGATTTGCACAGCCCACTGGCGTAGCCAAGCGAAAAGCCCTCTTTGATATGTTACTTTTGCACACACGCATGCAGACACGCGCACAGACATGCATAAAGTAAGGTTGAACCCCACTGAAAAAAACACTGGCGTAGCTAGCACTGAGCCACGTAAGGCTTGAAAAAGCAAAGCTGGGCGATTCTGAGGACAAATTTGGTTGTTTCTAGGTTGATTCTTAGGGCAGAATTGTTCGAGTTAATTCACAGGAAGTTATAAACATGACACGGATGTGTTCAAACTCTAGAAAGAAGCTCACACTGAAACCAAGTGTTCGAACCTTTCATTGAGCTATGTCGACGTTGGTGGAGGGCTTCCATGGCTTGGCGTGTTCTCGCAGCCACCATTGCTTATTCACGCACTGTACATACTCAGGGTCTTTGGCTTGCTTCCGTCGCTTCATAACCGTTAGCTTCATTTTCAATGGACTGGCGGTGACTAGTGGGCTGTACACGTATAGTTTCATATACCATCTTTGACTGGTCGTTTCGGAGCGCTCTAGAGCACTCTCGGGAGTGGCATTGTGTTTCACTGCTTAAAAGGGAGTGCGGGCCTCACGTTCGGCTGGTTTTTTTTAATCTCTCTCGTCGAGCGCTCTGAGCTGCTCCGAGCCCTTTCAACGGAGCCGTGTGAGCACTTAGGGTCAGGTAATCACAAGCAGCGTAGTGGTTGTAGCGGCGTCATATCAAGTGATTGTCTTGTCTGCTATCTACGTAATTTTGTTAGCGTGTCACATAGACTCTGTTAAGCGCTGAGTTGATGCCATCTTTTTTTGTCAACCTACCCGAAAACCAACAGCGAAAGCTGCGATGACGATGACGACATAAGCCGTGCCTGCGACCAGTGATTCGCCCAGCTGTCACACACAGGTCCCGTTAATTCGGGAGGCAATCGCCGGGCTAATTCCAAGGGCCGAAGTATCGGCCCCCCGAACCGCACCACGAAAGCGTGGACAATTTAGAAGTGGTCCTTTTTGGCGCGCCCAGCGGACGCCGGCTGTGGCCCAAAGAACAAGTCAGAGCCGAGAGTTGATAAACCAACAAAATTATATTCTCAATAATGGCAGATCAGAAAACAACACACAAATATGCTCACTCCACAATAGCTGAGTACAATATGTCACCGATCAAGCAACGTACTACACAGTACAATTAGCCACACTCGAACAACGGACACAGACAACAGTACACACTACAATGCAGTCGCATGCATTGAACAACCAAGACACTTAAAGACTAAAGAGATAGAAAACCTATTCAGTCCAAAGTCCTTGGAACTAAAGTCTGAATGATACTCTTCCGAGAATCACTCACTCAAAGTCCAGCGTTGCCGTTCCGCTGCCCCGAAGTTTCTCTTCCAGGAAACCTCGCGTCTTCAATTGGCCACTCTCCAGGCTTCAAACATCTTCGCCGAAAACACATCGGCTTCACACACGCAGCTGTTGCCACGCGTCTTCGCTCGATAGCGGTAAACACACGCTCTTGCCTATAGCTCGAGTCTTCACCCCTCAGGTGGAAATCCTCTTCTTCTCCTGCTTTGTCGCTACCGACAAAACCTTCGCCGACTACACGGCGGAATTACCCTATGCGCTCTGGCGCTATCTTCCGTCTCCTCCTGATCTCTCATCTCGGCTGCTCGGTTAAGTACCTTGCGCGCGACATTCCAGAAGGTTCTCGTCATTTTGTCGGCGCGATACGCAGCGAAGGCTGGGAAGAGGGCGAGACGGTTGAAATGCCCTCCGCGGCCGATGACTCAACTCGGTATGACCACGCCCCTTTCGTTCTAGAACTTTCGCGGGCTATCTCGGCCGCCGATGTGGGGTGAGGAGGTTCGTCGGCGAAGCCACGCTTCCAAGGGGAGAGCGCGCGCCCGGGGAGCCTTGGATGTTTGTTTTCTTTTTTTTTTTTTGGACCTCCCGGCGTCTCTTCCGCGCGTTACCGCAAGAATTTGGCGGCGCGTCCATTTTTAGCGCTCGTTCTGTGACACCAGCTGAGCATTTTCCTCTTGACGGCTTGTTTCGTCCACATGTTGGCCATTTTGTTTGGGAGCAAGCATAGGAAGCTTCAGCTCATCTTGGGCTAGGCTTTTATTAAAAAATGGATTTTCGCAGTAGGCACGTGGCTCATCCTGTTCCAGTTTTCCTCCAGCTACGAGTTCGGCTTGAGCGCTTGTACTTCACCTCAGAGTGAGAGTAATGCCGGATCCATTCTCCTCTGAGCCAGGGGGTAGAGGTGGCCAGTCAAAGATACCAATACTATCATACCTACATTGGTTGATTGATATGTGGGGTGTAACGTCCCAAAGCCACCATATGATTATCATACCTAGAAGCAAATCTTGCACTAGTGTCTATGCGGGCACCTTCAGGGACTCTTGTTCTACCATGGGAATAATGGGCAGTACATGCCTCAAATCTGCTTTGGATGGATTACGTTCTGGAAATTCTCAATGTTTGTTTGCTGAGTGTAAAACTAATTTCGATGAAGTTATTTCCAAATACTACTTGTTTTATTTTTTTGTAAGTAAGACTTCAATACAACCACTAGTGTGTGCATTCCTCTGCCATTGTGTTTCAGATTTGAAGGTTATCATACTTTTTTTACAACACTTGAAAACAAACATAGTTCTTCTCTCCTAAAAACACAATATTCATTTATGAAAATAACAGTACTGTGTTGAGTTGCAAGCACTTAATGTATCGTCTGCTACGATGTCAGGTGCATCTGTCCAAATGGCCTGCTCGCAACACGTCTTGTTTTGTTGTGAAGTCGAGTTGGAAGAGCGTGACAGTGCATCGACCTAGGTTCGTTGTCAATTTGAACAAGTTTTAGGAAGATGCACTTATTAAAAGACATTAACTTCGTGCAATATCCTGCACTGACATGGAATTTCATTTCATTTAATGTTCTGGCATGTGGCTGCTTGTTTTGCCTTGTATAAGATCATTATTACCACCTGCTCATCTTCTGCCAATTGTTTTAAATTCACCTCCATTGTAGTTTTTAACTGTGGGTCTCGTTTTAAGTAATCATACTCTAGTATGATTACTCACTCAGCGATGGCGTAGTGGTTAGAGCATCCGCCTCGCATGCAAAAGGTCCGTGGTTCAAATCCCGGTGCCGCGCAATTCCCAACCGGATAAAAAAAAGAAAATCCGCGTGGTGAAGGAACTGCATTACGAGGCTTGGGGTGCGGCCTCACCATTAACCACCGCTGGGAAAGCACGCCCTCACCAGAAAAGAATTGGCCACCCTGGTGCAGTATCTGGCCACTACCTCCCACATGCATATGTCGGGTAACTGACTGGATTCCCAGAGAAGGCAAGCGGGTTAGGGGGAGACAGAAAGTTAGGTGGGCAGATGAGATTAAGAAGTTTGCGGGTATAAATTAGCAGCAGCAAGCACAGGACCGGGTTAACTGGCGGAACATGGGAGAGGCCTTTGTCCTGCAGTGGACGTAGTCAGGCTGATGATGATGATGACTCTAGTACCCTCATCTGTATACAAGTGTTATGTATTCGATGCTTATGTAGCAAATATTATTATATAACAATATATGTTAATAAAGATTATTATTATATATTATATTTTTGTATATACCCAGAAAGAATGTGTAAAATCATGACGTGCTAACGTAGCAAGAAGCATGCGACAGGCTGTTTGTGCATCCCTGTTGTATTGCATTGAAACATATCTTGCTTTCTGTAGGTGTACATTTCAGTTGATCACATGACCGTCTTTTTTTTTTACAATTTTATTTTTTGAGCTGGAAGTATACAGTTTGGCGTACTTCAGCTGCCACTCATTAATATCACTACAGTAGATTTCCTAGAGGCTCTTGAGGACTGTCGTTCCCGCGGTTTCACGGCGAAATTAAGATCGGGAATTGGCACACTGCTCCCAAAGTTTTCGAATTAACCGGACTGGTGACGACCGCCGCTTCAAATTATCCGCTCAAACTTTCATTGCAAAATATGGGACCGCGGAAATCCTTCTAATGAAGCAGGATTTTGAAATAACCGAGTTCGAATTAGCAAGGTTCTACTGTTTATGAAACTCCATGGATTTACCAAATATCTGTTGCATGCACCCATTTGTGATGATAAAGAAATATTTCTTGACAGGCTGCACGCACAAATTCAGGGTTAGCTTAATCACCTTTGCTGTTACAGCGAGCTCTGGAAGTGACCCTAATTCTTGAAACAGGTGTCTGCTAGGGGTACTCACTCGTCGTCAAGCCTCTGCAAAATAACTTCCTGCTAGAAGACTACTACAACAACGACAACAACAACAAAATTTTGGGAGATCCTACGTACATTGGGAATCAGTGTTATGCGAAGCATGTGGAGTGAAGGTGACTATCTTGTATTTTTGATACCGTAAGCTACGCTAGCTGAGGTTGAGCAACTCATCGAGAGCTTTGCTGTGCATGCTCAAAGAACCGTGACGTCACATGGTGCACAGCTGGCGCGCCAGAGAAGTCCTGGAAACTCCTGGAGTGACCTGACCCTAGCTGCTTGGCGCTTGACTCCCGGGATCTCACTCGCTAGTTTCTCCCTCCGTCCATCGGTGCACCTGTCCGTCCGTCTGTCCATCTGTTCGTCGGCCTGTCTATCCGTAACTCATGCTATGTATATCCTGACATTTGAGCTGCCACTTCTGATTTTTATAGAACTAAAAGTTACGAAATGATGCTAAAAAATATGTACAAATGTTGTACGGATAGGCATGTGTTGAACAGTCGCAGGTATTTTATATAATTGGTTGTTTACAGATGTGCAATGGTGTCAAATGCAACATGGATATTGGCAACACTACACGATAGCAGCAGATGAACATTATTAATTGATTGCTTTACTTTATTTATTTATACTACTAGCCAAGGGTTGATTCA